CTGGTTTTGGATTTTTCAGTAATTAATTAATTAATTAATTAATGAGAGAGAAAAAAGTAGAAGATAGAGTAAATGTAAACTTAGAAAAAAATAGTTCCACTTTTCTTTCCACTTTCAGTAATTCATTTATTTAATGATTTATTATTAAAGTGCGTAAACATTTTTATAGCCTTTATAAGCTTTTATAAAACAGTTATTAAATGCTCTTCATACACAGAAGCAAGTTCACTATTTGGCAGGATCAAAATGTTGAGTTAAATTCATTCAACTACATGTAACTTGTGTTTGATGCTCCACTTATTTTGTTTTTGTTAAAACTTTATGAGCCAAAGCAAACATTGAATCTACAATTGTACATAGTGTATGAATCGTTTGACAAATGTTTGATTTTCAAAACATAAGTTATGTAAAATGCAGAAATAAACTGTCAATTAAGATTACAAGTAAAAGTTGGCTCACTATGTTGCAAGAAACAAATCAGCAATGCCCATTTCCTTAAATGCTTAACTACTTAATCACCAATGTTGTTTATTTAGCTCAGACATTAAAATAAACTGTTAATATTCATGTAGGCATGGTCTGTAATGTTCTATTCAAATTTAGGACACTGCTTAATACTTCAAAATACATTTTGAAGTATTTTTACATGCATTATTGACCATTTATGATTTAATACGCTTCCGTAGAAAAGTTAAAGTACTATCATGTATCTTAGTTGTTCTAAACAGTCTTTTGAACAACTTCATTTTAGAGAAATAGAACAAATTCCCGACTGGACTGATGAGCTAAAGGCTAGTCCCAGTGGGGTCCAAAATGGATTGCAGACATTTTAATTAAACTTAAAAAATTAAATAATAATAATAAAAAATAAAAATAAAAACATCATCACATGGGTTCATGCTAACTCTATTTTACAAACGTTTTCATTGACAGGGATTTGGTGGCAGGATGGACACAAATGCAGGCAGACAGACTTAAAAATTAAACAAAACTTTTATTAAATAAAAGGCCAGCGTGGTGGCAAAAACAGAAAACTTACAAGCAAGCAGGACCAAGGACGCCATGGCAGAACATGAACCAAACAATGATCGGACAAGGGTGGAGAGAAACTGAGCAGGTTATATACAAGCAGGGATGAGTGGAAATGGAAAACAGCTGGGATGATTAGGAGTGAAGACAGGTGAGCAGAATAATCTAGAAGGGCTGAATAATCTGAGGACTGAGATGACAATGCATGAAACGAACACTAGAGAGGAGCACAAGACCAGAACAGAAAAGCACGCAAAATACCAAATCCTCACATTCATAACCAGTGCTGGCTCTAGCCATTTTGGTACCCTAGGCGAGTGGAAGCG